GGGTCGCCCTTCCCACCAACATCGCACCTACGGGAAGATACCTGGAAGAGCAACTAACTTACTTGGTTTGAGCTGACCCCGTGTCAGGTACTGTACCATGTAAAGTGGAAGGGAGGGTGATTCCCACAACCATGTGCTTGGGTCTTGGCGCGAGCACTGTTTGTGCCGCAAGCTACGTGAATCGCAATCTGGTCGCTCCTCGAACCTTTACCCACCAGCAAACGTGATTCAGAGCTAAGGGGAGCCATGACAAGCTTATGCCATTGCCACTTTCTGGTGCTCAGTGGTCCCTAGTCACTGACGCTGCAACGCCTCCCCTTGCTACGGCTCTGAATCTGGAATTCGGTATGGTTCCGCCAAAACTGTAGGGAAATGGTCAACCTGTACCAGGTTGGTACCAACCGTCAGCTCGGGTTTCGTATGAAACGGAAGGTGTCTTTCGACTGAGAGGTGAGTTTCAGTCACCGGGTCCAGGATCAAAACAGGCTCTTCCTCATCCATTCGTCCCGTTAGCAGCGTTCTTGCTGCTCACTAAACGGGCGTCACGGCAGACGGGCTCAAAGGCAAGAGATGGGGACCAGTTCACAGAGGCATCATGGGTTTGTCCCGGAAAAGATCCGACCGTCTCCATGGACCAGGAGGTTGGAAAGGTTGGGTTTCGAGTGGGAAAGCAAAAGTGAATGTTTGCATTGGTTCGAGCGGGACCCGTACGGGTTCCAATAAACGGGCTCCTCCCCTTGTGCCAGGGGGCAATCATGTTTGTACACTCTAGCATCCCAGGGGACCGGTTGAATTGGTAGTAAACGGGCTCTGTTCATGTTTGCACCAGAGAGCAACCATGTTTGCAGCATCGAAATTTCTTGGATCCTATTTCGGGTCTCCCATGGTTCTCGCAGCATGTCCGCCTTGCATTTTAGCGATCAAGTTTTCGTGAATGTGCTCTCGCTGTCAAAGAGGAGTTGCCGTGAGGCGTACTCTGTGTTTGAAGTGCGAGGCCCAGGTGAGAATTGACAGGTCTTTTGAGGACGCGAGGCTAGACAGCATTCTCTGTTCTGCCACTCGGCAGATCCAGGGCTGGTGGAGTTAAGGACCACTGCTTCAGGCACAGGTTCGCAAGCCCGGGCCGAAGAAAAGAAGAAGGAAGAAAGTGAGCATACCTACGCTGAGGAGTCAGAAGAGGAGCCCGCGTTGCACACAGAGCCGGCCCAAGACGAGTCCCAGGCCTACATGGTGTTGGCTGAGGAAGGTTCTAGAAAGAGGCGACGTGAGGAGAAGAGCGAGAGGAGAACCCGCCGAGAGAGAGAGAGAGAGAGAGAGAGAGAGAGAAGGCTCAGAAGGAGACGAGCGCACGGGGAAGAGAGCCAAGACCAGCGGGGCCAAGGAGGCGACCCAAGAAAGACAACGAAGCAGAGATGAGTGAGACGGTCAGACTCCCTCGATAATCTGCCTCTCCACTCCTTGCAAAGTCGTTCCACTTCCCTGACCAGCATCTCCAGAATTCTCCCTGGCTTCCGGTCCGATTTCTGCGGCGCTTTCAATCGGTCCCTCCTCGCGTCGCGGCTCTCCTTTGCGCTCGCGGTCTACCTCTGAGCTCCTCTTCCGAAGGCTCGCTGAAACCGTCTCCGCTCCCGCAAGAGTCCCCGAATCTGCTGGCCGTCGCAACTTCCGTTTCTTCAAGCCAACAGCTTTCTCGCCCTCGCTTGCGCCTCTCTTTCTCCTCCTCACCTTTCCCTTGGGTCCTCGACACGGCTTGCGCCACTAGAGCAGCTCCGCATGACGTCCCCCACACCGTTTTGCCTAGCAACAGCTTGTTCGTGCCAGGAAGGCCAGCCTCTTCCAGTCCTGGTGCGACCTCCAACTCCTTTCCCCTTGCGCATCCCGGAGCACTCCTAGCCGTGCCTTCAATTTGCCCAAATTCCACCAACTCCACCAGCACCTGGCCTTCCCCCAACGGCGCCCGATGCTGGAGATGTCTTTCTCTGGTGTGCTGGACTTCTTGTCCTTCTCTCTTGCCTCCACCAGCTTCTTCAGCAACCTCTTGCCACTTGAGCTGAGATACGGACGTTTGAAATCTTCCCCTCTTAGTGCCGTAAATGCCCTTAGGTGAAGACCGGCTTTGTCTGTTGAAACGCAATCGCCAGCTTCTCCGGAACATAAATGAATCGCGCCTCCAATTGAAGGTGCTGGACAAGCCTGGGCCTGCCTCTTCGCTGGCGCATCCAAGGTACTTGACTTCCACCATCAATATTCCATCCTCCAGCATCGTTCACTGGGACCTCTGCTTCTATGACATCTCCTGGCTGGAAAGCGACCTTGATCCACCAGTTGCGATCGCCATCTGTCTCCTCTGTGAGGTTACCACTTATTTCCAGCAGTGGAAGCCGCAGCTTTTGGTCTCCGGAAGTTGGCAACTATGAGTCTTGCTTTCAAGAGTGTTCGAGTCAGTTCCGCAGGCCTACTTGCAGGCGCATGTGTTACTCCATACGGAGCAGCACGTGGAGCCCTTTCAGCTTGTATCCGTAGCCATTTCGGGCTTAAGCCTGGCCTTCGGCCTAGTAACCAGCCTTGCCGAAATGTTGAGTGATGGCTCGAAAGCAAAGACGGCGCAGGGCAAAGTTCTGGGCTTCGTCTTTTTTGCCCTGGACATTTGGGCACGGTGCGCCACATTGGCTCTTGGCCTCGTGCCAAGCGTGCGCCGGGCAGCCTTCGCCGTGATTGCGGGCTACTGGATTCTGTCCCTTGCGGCATTCTTGAAATTTCGGGGGTGGCCCGGCCACAGAGATTTTGTCTGGGAGTTTGTGGTCTTGCACTTGTTGCTTGCCTACCTCGTGCCCGCAGTCACGGTGGGAGACATCGATTTGCTGCGAGATTGCCCGCTCCGCACCTCCTTCAGGGGGGACAAGCCTGGCCGAAACTGAAGTGGGCTGCGCTTCCAGAGCGCGGGCCTGTGCGGTGCTGCCCTTGCCCTGGGCGTGGGGACCTGTGGGCAGCCACTGGTGCGGAGGCGTTGGCCTTACAGCGTTTTCCAAGAAAGTCCACTTGCTTCACTCCGCTGGTCTGACCGTTTTTTTCTTGAAGCGCATGGTTTTGGCAGAGCATGACGGCTCAGATTGTTGCAAAGGATTCCAGCACATGCGCAACTCAGCTGAGCCCTCCTTATCAAGTTCACCACTTTCACATCAATGATCCATGTGTTGCACCAAGAACTTGCGTGAGGTGTTTCATCATGGCGTCGCTCTGGCTTGAAAGCTCTGCCACAAAAGTTTCTCCCGTCTCCGTATATGGCGCATCATAGCTCGGATGGGCATCAGGGACCCCAGACGGCTAAATCGGGAGCAGTTGTAGAATTAAAGCCGCTCTCCGAAATCCATGTGCGCAAAGGAGAGTTCGTCCGAGGTGGACATTTGCATTCCACTCCCAAGTCGTCGTAGCCATCAACTTGGCATGACAAGCTTCTCCGGCTGCGGTGCTTGCGAAAGCCCGAATTTCGTAGAACACCATACACACGTTTGACACATGGCCAGTGGAGCTTTCTGACTTTGGGACTCCCGCGCTGATGCTTTTGAAGCAAAGGCGCTAGTCGTGGAAAACTTGCGTGCCATGACGGAGGCTCACATTCACCAAATTGTTCAGTTGCGCCCTTTTGGGACATGTTTGGCTCCAATTCCCCTAGCTGCAGCCCATTTTACAACACCAAAACGGTTCCTTTGTCTACCTTGCGCAGACTCGGCAGCTGGGGAAAAACATGCGAACGAATCAGGCCTCTACGGACACCAATTTCGGATATCTTCCTTTCTACAGGGAATTTTGATCGATAGTGCGGATTGACAAAATTCGCTTCGCACCAGTTGGGATGGTGGAACTAGATCTCACATGGCCGGCGCGCTCCGCAGATTTTCTCAGCCAACAGGCAGCATGCAGATGGATTAGACCAAGAAGGACATAGGAAGTGCGTAAGCCACACGCTCCCAGCAAATCAACCATGATTTCCATGCAGGTTTCCGTCGTAAACAAACAACAGGCGCATCAGTTCTTCCGGTCAGTTTTAGTAGGGAACCGCTGCAACAGCGGTTGGTGGACATGAATCCCCACCTAAATGACGTCCACCAAATGGTCCCCGAGTAAATTTCATACCCTTAAAGACGCACAGACCACAAGGCCCACCAAGTCGCTTTCAGCGAGCTCCACTGCGCCATGTGCATCTTCTGCGAGACGCTGCACTTAACCAGTGTGCCTTTGTTTTTTTGAACTCCCCTTTGGTTGGTTTTAAAGGGACTCCAAAAAGAAAGTCACATTTTTTTGAGGAGTTGTTTAGGAGTTTCCGAATTTTGAGGCAAGACCGTTTAGCCACGCGTATATGGTTGATTGTGGTCCAGTCACTCATGTGTGACATGCATATTTTATATTTTGGGCTTCCATTTGCCCCAACTCCGCTCTCTTGTTCGGTTTTTTAGTGGCAACCGTTGTTATTCCCAAAACGTTTCTCTCCTGCAGATTGATATGGCACCCCAACCTCACATCATGTCCAGAGGCAATTTTCAGTGGGAGGTTCACATGAAAGCCAACAACATTCAGAAAACAACATGTCTTCTGAAGCCTGAGTGGGAGATTCATATGGAAACCAACACAAAAGCAAACACCGCATCATTGCTAGAGGAAGCTCAATTTGATAAAATAATGTCAACAAGGGGAATCTAATTCAGGGGATACAACATGGGTCCACAGGAAGTGCTCCAGCTTGTGCCATTGGACAATCATTACGGACATGCATGCATGCATGCATGCATACATAAATACATACATACGTACATACATACATACATACAGACATGCATGCATCCATCCATCCATCCATCCATCCATCCATACATACATACATACATACATACATACATACATACATACATACACGCATATATATATATATATATATATATGGTACCCCCAAACCCCATACACCTGCACATAAAGCTTCATAGAACCCATCCCTCTAGAAGCCGATGCTGAAGCCCAACGGGTCACCCACAGCGCGCCCGGCTCAGCGGAGGAAGGCGAAGAACGAGCTGGGCGGCGGCCTCACGGCGGCGCAGAAGCGCGAGGCGGGAGCCGTTGCTTGGGTTGCGCAATGGGCGGGGTCGGCTTGCGCCATGGGGCGGGTAAGTCTGTTTCAATATGTACTATATATATATATATTTGTATGCAGCTATACATGAAAATATATCGATATATACATATATATATATATATATACATCTGTAAATGGATTTGTGTTTTCTTTTCAGGGTGGGTTGGTTTGAAAGGGAAACGCATATTTGTAGGTCTTTTCTATGTGTAGTTCTTTGCAGGGGCCTCCGCGCCCTCCGCGCTCGGCTCAGGCGGAGGCGTGCGTGTCGCTGCAGGAGCAGCGGGTGCCGGCCACCATCTTGACCGGCTTCCTGGGCGCGGGCAAGACCACGCGCCTCGGCTTCGCTTTTGCGGTCTCGGCTTTTTCGAAGCAGGCCGCGCGAGTGGCGCATGGCGCGCATTTCCGGGGAAGGCGGCGAAGCAAAAAAAGAAGGAGTTGACCAGGAAGAGCCGATTGGCTTGTTGTGGCTCTGCCTTGTTTTTGGGGTGATGTGTTTCAGTGTTTTTGAGGTTGTTTCTCCGTTTTGCTTCCTCGTTTTGTTTGCTTGTCAGTGTTCCTGGACTGTCAGTTTTTCTCCATTTTATACTTGCATGTTTTGGTTTGAGCCAGAACTCGTTGTTTTCCCGGTACGGTGTAGTTATGTCCACGTTTTGCTGCTTGCACACACTGCATGTTGTTCCCCGGGTTTACCTAGTGCTTTGTCAAAGCTTTTTCTTCACTGCTGTGTTTATTTGCTTTGTTTGTTGGTTGTCCAGGGTGCTGACCCAGGATGAAGAACTTCCCTCCCTAATCCTTGTGCCAGATGGTTGTGGTTCTCCCGGTGGTGTCCCACTACTTGCAGATCTTCAACACCCCAGTCCAAGCCACCAATGAGGGGGGGGAGGTCAACCTCCACCGAGGGTTCCTGAACTAGCGCGTGTATGTTGTAAGTGTTTCTAGTGTTCCTACAGGAACCCCTAATGAGATTGTTATTGCCTGATTTACCAGGCCCAATTTGGCACCCAGCCAAGAACACCCAGCACAGCACTCCCTACTGATCCAATGGGTTTCTAAATCCTTGCTTGTTTTTTCTTGAGTTCTGTTCTTTTTTAGTGTGGCTGCTGCAAAGAACCGAGTTATCTACCAGCCCAAACAAGAAAAAAGGACCCTCCCCCCTTAAACCCAAACAAATGTGTTTTTTCCTCCAAACAAGACCCTCCCCCCACGTTAGCCCGGGCGGATTTCTTGTCGACAGGTTCCTGAACTTCGTGCTGAAGAGCCTCGGCCACGGCCAGAAGATCGCGGTGGTGCAGAACGAGTTCGGGGCCGTGCCCGTGGACGATCAGCTCATGCTGCTGGAGCGGCTGCAGCGGTTTGAGCGGTTTGCAAACAGCTCGAAAAGCCCGGGCAACGGCTGGGCCAAAAAAGTGAAGCTTAAAAAGCCAAGAAACCTATAGAATACATATCAGGGGCCAACAAACATTCGAATGGGGTTTGGCAGTGCCAGAAAAGCCAAGTTCAGTGGCATCCTCGTTTAGGATTTGGACCCTCAAACTGCGCTTCGGGTTTCAGCAGAAAGGGCAAACAGGTGGTACCCGCAGAACAGGGGGAGCACATCCACGTGGCTCGGTGTGGCCTTTTAAAAAGGCAAACCAAGCATTTTCCCTATAAATTTTAAGATGGAGTCAATGGCCAAATTACCCCCAAAGTCCCAACTTTCCAGCGGTTTCCAGAAGGTCCGCAAGGTCTTTTTTGAAAGGATGATGCATTTTAGGATGTCAATGCGTTCACATTTCGGTTGGGGGCACACGCTGAGGTTGGGCTTTCGTATTCCACCTTGGGTGGATATAGGTGTGTGGGTACCACTTGTTCTAAAGGGACCCCAAGAGGAAAACCCAAGTCCATTTTGGAGGTCCGATTCCTCCAAAAAGACGCGCCACCCAGTTCCCCCCGCCCTCCCCTGCCGCGCTCGCTCCGGAGCCTCGCTCCGAGTTCTCCAGGAGCAGTCCGCGGCCGAGACCATCGTGATGCCCAACGGCTGCCTCTGCTGCCGGGTGCGCGGAGACCTGGTGGAAGCCCTGAGGCCTCGCCTGGGAAATCGGCGGAGACATCGGCGGAGAAATCGGCGGTTCCGGGGTTACGGGATTCGTGTGCACAGAAAAGCCGAGGTAGTCGCCCAGACGCATTGTTTGCACGGGGGATATGTTTGGTGAAACCAACGCCCGCCTCAGTGTTTTATGATGTGTGTTTCTGTTTTTGGGACCCCCCAAAATGGTGTTTTTGCTTTTTTCCTCCTTTTTGTTTTTCCCCTGTTGGTTTCCCTTCAAACGAGCAAAGAAGGGTACCGAGCCGTTCAACAAAGACGAGCCACTCGTGTTTTACCATGGTTTCCTGTTGCTTCTCCTTTCAAAAGCCATCCCTCAAACGAAGGGAACCTTATGGTAGTTGACTTTTCCGTTGCATTTCCAGTTGCTTCGTCTTAGATTTTGTTCTTAGGGGTTGTGTTCTGTAGGATGTTCAAGCTTTCCTGAAGGCGTATACCATTTGATAGTCTGTGGAAGGTGCTGGCTGGCTGGCCCGTTTTCTTCAGGTTCTCAATAGGAAAGCCCCAACCCAGTGGCATCTTGCCTGCCGTCAGTTTGGGATTTTGGTCCCCGACACTTGCACCATGTAATGGCCCTGGGAAGATGCTGTGGCCTGGGAAAAGCAACATACATGCAGTGCCCTTGTGTGCTCCAAAGGTGGATGTGCACCTTTTTGAATGCCCCCACAACAAAAATGAAGAACAATCTGAACAACGACTGGCAGTTGGGGTCCCAGTGTAATACATATCTAGAATATGCGTATATGTATTATATGCTCACCTTTCCATGATCCACGCCTAGAGTGCTGGATACCACATGCGTGTGGATCATGGGAGGGTGACATATGCTGCGGCAGGCGCCTGGCCGAGAAGGGCGATGAGTCGAAGCGGATGGACGCCTTGCTGGTGGAGTGCTCCGGGCTCTCCGAGGAGCGGGATATGACTTGTTTTTTGCTTCGAAGGGCCCGGGAAAGGATGGGGGGAGGTGAGCTTTAAGGAACCATTTGAATCATGTTGCTTTCTCCCACCAAAACTAGGGACACCACCATTTACAAGGCAATGTTCAGGTGTACAATGTAAGGATCCCTGAGAAGGAGCATCATGCAGAAAGACATAGAATATGTAGAACTGGGGTCTTGAGGGCAAAGAACGAGGTGAGGCAAAAGTTTGAGAAGGAACATCATGCAAGAACAAACTCATGTCCAAGGACTGAAGTCTTATGGGGGGGCCTGTGAACTTCCATGTTTTGTGCTGGTATGTGTTAGGTCCGCCCCCAGTTGGTGGTTAGGATTGGTGGTTTGGGGATTTGAACCCCCGGTTCCTGCAAAGGGTAAAATTGGAAATAGTGGGAAGCTGAAATGGGTGTGTCTTTCTTGAGGGCACCTTCTTGTTTTGGGTGGATTTAAAGGAAAGCCACAACGAAAGCCATTTGTGGATCCCCTGTAAAACTCACATCCATTAGGGCCCGGAAGAACTTGAGGGCAACCTCCAAACCTGGAGACCACTAAGACTTCAACTTGTTTTTTTTTTTGGGGGGGGTGTTTAATTTTGGAGGATTTCTCTTGGGGTTCTCGTGTTTTCCATCACGTCGGCTGAGGCCACATGCCACATGGCCAGGAACATCCAGTCATTTTGTAAGGTACTTCACGCATGTTTTGCAGGTTACAGGTCCCCATTTCGAGACACCACCCAAATGGGTGGTCTTTTTTGAGGGCACCCTTTTGTGGTTGTTTTACAGGGAAACCAAAAGGAGAGAACCGCCTTGTGTTGGACTGCTGTGTCCTTGCGAGTGGCGAGACAAGCATTGTGGTTTCCCAATAGGGATGATGGAGAATCGGATTGGCCACCATGACCATTTTGCACAGCCCTGCCGAAAGACCCATGGCCCACATCAACAGGTTTGACCACACAACTACGGCCAGTCTTGCCCCCTTGTGAGAGAGTTTTTCCAAGAGGCCGAGGACAATCCAAGTGGAGGTTTTTGATGTTGAGACAAAAGGAGAAGATCGTCTTGCGAGCCCTGGAAGTTTTTTTTTTTTTTGGATTTCGACGCTTTTGGCCTACAGTCATGCCCGACTGGTGGGCCAAGCCCTCAATGCTTACTACCTGACATAGACTTAGCTTTGGATGAATCTGGGGGCCCGTGCCAAGGGGGGGTTCCTCTGATCGGTGGGTCCGCTGGATGTTTTTTGTTTTTTTTGTTTTAACCGACTTCCATCGGAACATTCCGCTCTTGGCTTCAAAGGGAATCCATCACTACTGGCGTTTTTTGTTTTTAGTGTTTCAGGGGACTTTAGCAAGTGAAGGTCAACGTTGTTACCCAGTACCTTGTCACAACGGAGGTTAGCACTGGTACCTACTATGTTGAGCCCTTAGACCGTCTTGGGTGTGTCCATTTGACCTGCCGATGCCCCCACATCGGCCAGTCTGAGTTCAAAATCCACCAAATCCTTCTGCCAAAGGATTGCGGACGAATGCTTCTGGATGATCACGGGGGCTGCGGGGGAGGGGGGGAGCCCAGGCCTGAAGGGCTAGGACGTGGGGTTCCCATTTCGAAAATCCCAGTTTGAGCATTTCGAACATCCCGCGACTCGCTTTGGGTTCTGTCAACCCGGACAGTCACCCAGAGCTCGGACACGTAACTGATTTCCACCAAAGGGCCCCTAAATCAAAAGTCACACCCACATGAGTATGTGTCAAAATAGGGGGGAAGGCTGGTTTTTTTCATTTGGTTTCCCTTTTCAACCAACCCAAAATGGGTAGCCTGAAAAATGCCACAGCCCCAGAAACCTACAGCAGTTTTTTTCCGCACAACTCGACGGGCGAGGTTTTGCCAGTGGCACAAACCTTCTTCTCCGACCCCTTCGTACAGGCGCAACTGGGGTTCGTAACGTTTTAATGTCCTGGGACGTTCGGGTGCATAGCATAGCAACCACATCTTTTTGGATACCGTACGGCAAGTTGGATTTTGGTCCACCTTTTGGTGGCCAATCCAGAGCTGGGCGTGAGTCTGGGTTGGTCTTCCTATCATATCGTTGTTTTTTTTCTTCTTCTTTTTCCCAAGCGGATTTTGGACAAGAAACACGCAAGTTGGGATTTGGTGGAGTGGTGTTACGCACCTTTTGGCCTGGGTTTGAGCCTGGCTTGTTCTCCCCATCAGTTGTTTTTTCCCCGAAAGAGAAGTTGGACAGGCGGTTTCGAAAGGCAGTTTTCCGTAAACAGGAGGCCTTCATGAAAGTCAGGTTCTATAGCGGATAGAGGAGAGCCTTCCAGGGAATAGGCGTTTTTGTTTGGCTCCGGACTCGATCCCGGGAGGTTGCCTGCAATTGATTCTTTGCCTTAGTGGATTGGCACCGTTTGTCCCAAATTGGTCCTCGTCCCAACCCAAATTCGTGGCGTGTGCCCCCCAAAAAAGCTTGCGAGTGTGGAGTTTCCCCCGTCGTTCGGGGGACGGCCCGCGTCCGCGTTTTTTGGGGGCCACCACGGAGGTTTTGAGAAGAGTAGCCCCCTCAAGAGGAAGGCGCCCAACCTCGAAACAATGAGTTGGATTTCTTCTGGAGAAAATCTACACGTTGCCCAGAAGTCTTGGGAGGATGTCGCCTTCGGATCCTCGAAAGGACTTCGAAAGGACCAAGTTTTGGGGTGCACCCGCTTTCACTCCGGGCTTTGGACTGTTGGAAAGAGGGCAAAATGTGAAGTACAGACCCCAGATTAGCATGGAACCGAACAGAAAGCCCTTCATATTTTTTGAGGCCTCGACCCCCGATTTTGACAATTTGGGCATATGTTTCGGAGCTGGTACCCGGTTCAGGTTGGTCTAAACTGGAAAAGGAGCCAGCACCCGGGTCCCAACTTGCAACTGCTTTTTCAACTATGCAACCAAAGTAACCAAGAAGCAGTAGTGGCGTGCTGAAAGCCATTCATTCTGCATAATTTATGGCGAGCTCACTGATTCGGGGGTAAAACGAGCTCACCATGATAATTGTCCGTTACTTGTCGGGGATCCCTCACTTCAGCTTTTGGAATTGTAGTAGTATGTGGAGACTCATTGTTCTTCTCTGTTTTGACCAATGAAAAGGGAATTGTGACACCTGACATCCATTTTGAATCGGTTCGTGTGCCGCCTCGCTTGGCTCAGACAAATGGGCACAGCGAATCGCGCGTTTCGCGGCTTGACCCCAAAAAACGAGAGATGTGCAGACAAGGCATGTCTCAGATGAGAGTTAGATGTGCAGGATATAAGATCTCCAAATGGATATACATGATGCATATATAGCTTGGTACATCTAAAATGGATCTAATCTACTGTCGTCTCATAAGACACGAAGGCCGAGCGTCCGGTCCGTCTCAAACCCACGGCCTTGCGATTCCGTCCTTCGGAGGCCGCAACTCGTCGGGGTCGCTCGTCGGCGAGCAAAATTGTTGTTGTCGTCTTGGGATTCGGAGCCACCAAGCATTGGGCAAGAATGGCCAAGAACGGTTTTCCTCGGTGGGTTTCCCTGGGCTGGTTCTGTCTGGCGTTGGAGTTGAAGCCATGGGCTGCTGATTCTTTGGGGGGTATTTCCTGGCGATGTTTAAAGGGGAGAACTATGCCCTAAAGACTTGCCATGAGAAACATGGAGTTACTGTCACCGAAAGATATGGGGAACCCTAAAGACTCACGAAGGTACCATGAGAAGTTTCGGAGGTTACTGTCACCGAGTGCCCATGTCAAGAAGACAATCATGGCCCGTGGCTAAAAGCAAGTGCCATGGTCAAGACCCGCGCTGACTTGCTAGGAACGGTCAGCCTCCGGGTTTCAGGCTCACCATCGAATAAGAGCTGTTTTTTGGGAGGCATGGCCCAACGGCATCCGGTCTTGGACCAAGCCTCCGACCAAGGTTTCACCAGACACACCCCGACGGACGAGCCCCCGAAAGGGGTAAAAGGGATGGCGGTGAACTTCTGCTTCCGGTCCAGGTCCTTGAGGCAAATCCTAGACTCGAACGTGCGAATGGAGCGCGAATGGAGCCAGAAGTGGAAGGTTCAGCTCTCGCCCAAAGTCCCCAGAGGGCAAGCTCAGGTGGTTCCAAGCCGAGGTGTCCTTCTAATCGCTGGGAGTAGATGGGTGCCGCCGGTTTAGATGTTTTT